GACTCTAAAAGACCATATTAAAAGCCGTACTTTAGGAGGGATATGTCTCCTCCAGAACAGCACTCCAAATAGTGCTAGATGTTGCTGACACGGCAGCCAGAGCTACTGCGACATCAGTAGTTATGAGAAGAGCCTCCTGGTTACAGTCTGTGGGGGTCCCTCATGAACTTCAGTCAAAGGTGGAAGATCTCCCTTTCAATGAGCAAAAATTATTTGCTGAGAAGACGGATGATGTGCTGCATTCCAGCAAAGACTATAGAACAACATTGTGCACACTTGCGATGTATACTCCCCCATTCTGCTGTAAACTATACACTCAATATCAAAAGCAGCGGGAGTTCTCTTACTCCAGATACCAACAATGCTCTTTTGATCAATCAAGGAGCAAACAATGCCCATAGACGAAATGCCCACAGGGCACTCGTAATACTGGCAGCCAGGTGAACAAGCAGCAGATTTGACCTGTTGGTTGAGGGCCTGAAAAATCTCCCCATCTCGCACGAAACATCACACCCTGCTCTGGCCTTCCACCACCATCTGAGGCTTTTTCGTCATCATTGAGTGGTTACCACATTGGACCGTTGGGTCCTCAAAATAGTAACATTGGGGAACACCGTCCCCTTTACCTCACTTCCCTCTACCTCCCCACGCTCCCCGTCCCTCTTCAAGGACCCCCTCACGAAGACCTATTAAAACAGTAGGTACAATGACTGCTCAGTGTAGGAGCAGTGGAAATAGTTCCAGAGGACTTCAGAGGCAAGGGGTTCTACTCCCATTACTTTCTCACACCAAAAAAAACCCGGGAGGATGGTGGCCTATTTTGGATCTCCACTAATTGAATCGGTATCTTCAAAAGCAATGATTCAAAATGGTTACCCTAGCTTCAATAATCCCATCATTAGTGAAGGGAGACTGGTTTTCAGCCCTCGACCTGCAGGATGCCTATTTTCATATAACTATTCACTCTGTGCACCCCATGGTTCCTACGTTTCGTAGTGGGTACAGATTTCTACCAATACCGAGTACTACTATTCAACTTTTCATCAGCACCAAGAGTGTTTTCAAAGATGTTAGCCATTGTCTCAGCCTACCATTGTAGACAAGCTGTGATTATTTTTCCATACCTCGACGATTGTCTAGTAAAAGGTCCATCAGAAGTGGAGACACAGCGAATCATGGCAACAACCAGGCAAACATTTGATCTCTTGGGTCTTATACCCAATACACAAAAGTCAACACTACAACCTACATGAACTCTAGAATTCATAGGCGCCGTGCTAGATTCCGTATCTGCAAGAGCATAGTTCCCCATGCAAAAATTCCAAGCAATCCAAGAACTGATTACTACTGTTACTCTCAGCCCCACAGTTCCCATACTTACCTGTCTCCAGCTTATGGATCACATGGCTGCTACAGCCTATGTGGTTGACCATGCTCGTTTACATCTTCGATGTCTTCAACACTGGCTTGAGACAGTACAGTAGACTTCCGATAATCCGGCACCCTTGGGACCCAGGTGGTGCCAGATTATCAGAAATGCCGGACTATCAGGAGGTACTCTGGCAGGGGCGGGTCTCATCGGAGGGGAAGCGGGGCAGGGGGCGGGGGTGTGCCAAACCCTCCCTCCTGCTGCAGGGAGGCAGAGCCTGTGAGCGGTGGAAGAGGAGAAGCGGTGACAGGCAGGCAGCCGCATTCAGGACGTTCTGGTCAGTTACAGTCACTCTGGCTGGATCCACAGCCGACACGCAGGTAAAGT